CACGGGAAGGGGATACCACCACCGTCGGCACCAGCCCACCACCGTGGTGCTCAGCTCTGAAACAGAAAAAAAGGAAATTAGCGGGGAACACTCAATTAAACAAAAAGAAACAAAAGATTAGACTGTAGGCGATGACAGTCGCCCGTAAACTTATAACAAATTCAAAAGAAAAGTATATATTCTAACTCAAAACCTAAGAAGAACCGACTTGTTTTGAGTTATATATTCTAACTCAAAACCTAAGAAGAACCGACTTGTTTTGACTTGTTTTAACTGATGGAAGCTGCAGTAAAACCAGCGTTTAGTTTGTTTATGTGAAACTGAGTCATAGTGAGATTTGGGCAGCAGAGCCCAGAGATGATGACAATTAACTCCAGACGGCATTAATGATCCTTGATCAGATGAATAACTCTGGCTTCATTCCTTTTAGCAGAGCTCCTGCTGTGATGCTGCTGCTTCTGTCAGAGTTTAGAAGAACTTTATGGAGCTCAGTCATCACGAGAACTTTATGGACTTCTGTCATCAGCTACCTGTACATGTCCATCCTGCGACTAGTCCAAATGTCTGCTGTGAAAAGGGCTGTTAAACAGTACTAACTACATTTTCCTCCACAGTATGTGTTTTCATAGTTCTTCTTTTCATGATGTCATTGTGTTGTCATGTTGAGACATTGAGCATTTTAACGCTCAGTGCTCATGTAGGATTATTCTGGCCTCCTGTACCACATCTACACTGTCTGCTCTACAGCCTGTATGAAGTTATATTATTACACAGATTAAACCCAGGACAGAACATTCTAAATGCCTTAGTCCAGTTCTAGGATTAGGCCTAATTTGTGTTTATTTATAGTTGCAAAATAATATGAAAAGATACCATTTGACCAACTTTTCTCTCTTTAAATGAAGATGCACAACAATTCAATAGAGCCATCCTCATATTGAAGAAGTGCACCACATGCTGGGACAACTATCACTGCCCATTCTGTTGCTCAGCTTTGTTCCATCCGATGAAGTTGATATTTATACATGTTTTTGCTCCTGCACTTTTAAAGGCTAAACAAATAGCATGCCTTTCATGGTGCTACTTGTGTTATACCTGTCTAACATGACTGCTCTGCTGTAAAATATATTAAATTATATTGTTTCAATGTTTTCTTTTGGTAAGCCGTCATATATGTCCTTTCTGTCCAGGAAGATGTGTCCTTCCAGGAGGCTGAGCAGGTCTACTGCTGTGGTCGGTTGACCATCAAAGGTCCGGGTAACGGATGTACTATATACATTTACACAATGCCCTACAACCCTTTTATAACGATTTACTAATAGTAGTGTTATTACCCATATTAAGGGGCACCAGTGTAGATGAATGTACCTTTCTAAGTGTTCCTAATGTTTCTGTAAAGCCAGCAGTGATAATGTTGTCTGTCTACTAGTTCAGTGAAGTGGAGGAATCTTGCAGAGGGCTGGATAAAGAGCTGAAGACAGAGGGGAGATGATTCAGTCAGTATGTGGTGCTCCCTTCAGAACTGGCCTTATTGGCATGAAATGTTCAAAATAAAATGTGTTTTGCCAAAGTATGAAAGTAACCCATGTACAGTTTATCAGATATATCAGTGTTGTATCTACATGTGTGTGTTAATGTCTGTCTCTGTGTCTCAGGAGGAAGTGACATCACATATTCTGAGGTGGGAGTCACAAGACCAATTTACTTTTGTGTGTGTGTGTGTGTGTGTGTGTGTGTGTGTGTGTGTGTGTGTGTGTGTGTTGTTGCTTTTATTTTTATTAAATGTTATTGCATAGTATAAATAAATATATAATTCTGCCTTCAGAGTTGTCATTCTGTTTCGTGTCTTTTCAACCTGTCAAATTGCCCTGTTTGACATCTACAGACCACAGAGGCCACAGTAGCAGAGTCCATTATTATTTTACCTGTTAATAAGTAAGTTAATTACACCATTTGCCCAAATGCAAGTCTCAACAACCAAGTTATTAATGTAATAACTAGTATTTTGGCTGGAATAAGCCTTCCAAGCCTCAACTTGTTAGTAAAAAAAACTTTCAAATTATCTGTACTTGGACATGAAGTAGTACTTAGTGTGGAATCGTCCTTGGATCAACCTTTTAAATTCTAAATATATTTTGAGAGAAATCATCCTTTAGAACTAAATCTCACATTTTGGTGATCATTCATTGTGGTAGGTGAGGCAGGGCCCTGAGAGTGCAGCCCTGAGAGTGCAGCCCTGTGAGAGGGGCCCTGAGAGGGGGCCCTGAGAGTGCAGCCTCCGGGTCTGCTGACACATACTATTGGGTTCAGAGAGCCAAAACCCACCTTTTATAGTCAGGCTAATGCGCCACGGTTGGCTTACAAACCCAGGACTATCCTGCTACACAGGCATTAACCAATTTTACTGTTTATGGCCCGTCCACACTAATAACTATAGAGATCACTATATAGATGTGTACGCTGTTATAATTAAGTATGTTTCGAGCTATTATGTATTCTGAATCTGTATTTTGCACTAAGCCTATGATTCTGTTTCGTATTTTCTTACTGAGAACAGCATACGTCCTTGAAAATAATGTGGCCGGTGAGAACCGGTTCACACACTTGGAGATAGCGGAAACTCCTCTATTCTATCAGATACGATTGTTACTTTAGCTACACGCCGTACCAACAACATCCACACATGCAGCTTACTGACGGAATTGGACTGACATTATTTTTAAATTTTTTTTACAGCACGTAGCCCAAACACAGTAAAAGCACTTATATTTTATATGTACAAAACAGGTTACAGTAGCCTGATATTTATAGAAAAGCTAGAAGTTGTAAGTGAGGAGAACCAGGTCAAAATACTTTCAAGTGTCTCAGATGAAACGTGAGGCCACTGTACGAGAGAAGAAGAAAAAAAGAGCTAACTTAATATTATTGTTAAATGATTTCAATCTAAAAACATACATCCAGTGGATTGGTTTTGATTGAATTAAGGTATTAGGTAAAAATAACAACCCTGCACCTAACTTCAGCGTGTCATTTTTAAGCTTTTCTAAGCACTGTACTTCAACTCTAGATTATGGGGTAAAAATATCACCTGTGCAGCGTTATTCTGTCATGCACAGCAAATCTGATTGATGATCACGCTAGAGATTGCTAAGGATTAACAGTGTCTACACCACAGTGTATAGCTGCTGCCACCATTCCCTAATCTCTGTCTCTGCACAGCTGTATTTCTACTGTGTGCTGCAGGGACTAATGACATTTTTTAATGTAAGGGGACTCACAAATGTTCACTATTTTCCATCAGAATGAACATTTTTTGCTTTGCTTGGTGGCTGATGGTTAGCTGGATTAAATTATACACCAGATCTCAGTTTTTCTACACCCCTCATACATTATTGAATAGTCAAATTTAAGCCTCTAATCATTTTAAATCCCTTCTGTGTATCCTTTGAAAATTTATGAATTTGCTGTTGGTTACAGGCACCATGTAAACAGACACAGCCCACATCCATACAACACTGCAGAGAAAACTGGCAAACTGACTATTCAAAGTATGGCAACAGTAAGTGTCCAATGTCGCTACACACAGCTTATCTACTAGTGAGATTCATGAATCAGTTAGGGAGATCGGGGGAGGGGGGGGAGCCTATCCCAGGCAGCTGACTTGGGGCGAAGGCAGGGGACATCCTGGACAGGTCACCAGTCTATCGCAGGGCTACACTTAGAGACAGACAACCAAGCACACTCACATTCACACCTACGGACAATTTAGAATCACCAGTTAACCTCAACATGTTTTTGGACTGTGTGGGAGGAAGCCGGAGAACCCGTGTTGTGGAAATTTTCTATGATCTTAATTAAGTCCAGTAGTCCAAGTTGTCTTTGTCTTGTTTTATTCAAAGCTGTGAAGGTACAGGTCATACAGAATGCAAGCAGTCTGCAGGAGAGTACAAATGAGTGCAGGCAGTGTAGTATTCTTATACATGTACAGGCGTGGTCTTTACTCCAATGGTAGTATAACAATCCCATGCTGGAAAACAACAGCTGGGGCTACAGGGTGTACTCATCCACAGACATTAGAAGACTAAACACATTGGATCAGACATCAAGAAGTCTAAACACATGGGATGCACAACTTCTTCTTCCCATGTACAGCTACTAATCTTTTACCTAGATGTTATGAGAACACATTTTTGGGCAAGTAACCTTTCCACTCAGCTTTAATGAAAGTTAGTGAAACTTGCTTTGACATTCTTCATGCAGATGCAGTATCTTTCCATTACACCCGGAATTACACGCTGCACGGGGAGAACATGCAAACTCCACGCAGAAAGATCCCGCTGCCCCCACCAAACCAGCGACCTTCTTCTTGCGAGGCAGTGCTAACCAACTGTGTCACCTTGCAGTCCCTTGCACAACATATTCTCTATCATTCTAAAACAGCTTATATGAACTAAGGATCAGCCTTTAAAATGAATGATAAGTTAAAAACTGCAGCTCTTGATCCATAAATGAAACTCAGTACATCGCTATCAAAATTAAAAGTACTCCACTGAATCTCTAAGTAATCAGATGCTGGGAGTGCATGAAGACTCTTGTGTTCACTCTTGCAGTCAGCAAAAGAGACATTTAAGGGTTGGCAGACACAGCTCTACTAAGTAGATAAACTTAACTAAATAACAGCTGCTGTTTTTAAATGGCTTAAATTGCAAGCAGCAGGCAGTGAGAAGGATTATACAAAATTTGAGTTTCACAATTATTAGTTCCTTAGCTGGTGGTTTGTAAAGCTGGAAGTCTTTCTAGTTAAGGCTAACGTAAACGTCTTCATGTTATTACTTATTAATAATCAGATTACTTAAAGAGTTCAAACTTCAACTTAACAACAACCACAAAGCCAAATTAAATGTAAATTTCACCATAGGGAACTTTAAAATTCTCCGCTTTTATTGTGAATTTCTCGGCTGTCACTGAAGGCGGAAGTCCAGTGTTTGGCAAACTTCCGGCTATCGATATGTCCGCCTTTTATTTTATGTAAACACAACAGTCGGGCGGACACACAAAAAGCAATCGGTGGACACAGTTGAATGCATATCAACGGTCGTTGCATCTGCCTCCGCGAAGCTCAGCAGCAGCCGGGTTTTTAGCTCCGGTGAGCGGCGGTGGCTTCTCCGTCAGCTTCCCCGCGGAGTGACAACAAACTGTCGGCTAGCAGCGAGCTAAAGCTTACGTCGAACCCCGCTCGGTCGGTCGGTCGGTACGTCGGTCCCCGCAGCTCCGTTCACTGAGTGTCCGTCGCCGTCAGAGAGAAGAGGACTCTCTCATGGTGGTCCCACTTCAATGGGGAACTGTCTGTTTTCACAAGGAGCGGATGACCTGTCGCTACTGAACGAGTCCGAGGGGGGCAGCCTGCCCGGAGAGCCCCCGCCACCCTACCAGGTGAGCAGCCCCGGTCTCCGGTCAAATAGAGTCCGCGGATTCAGGAGCAGCACTTCAATGTGGCAGCGATGGAGGTTATTATAGCTGGTAACTGCAGGTCAGGGAGAGTCTAACAAGAGGTTAACTTTTAGTTGGAAAATGTCTGGGCAACAGGGCTGCAACTACCGATTATATTCTTTAATGATAAACCTCTCAATTATTTCCCCAAACATTAGTGGATGGATTAGTTGTTTAAAATGTAAAAAAAAAAAAAAAAAGGCTTAAAGTGTCCATCAGTGTTTCCCAAACTGTTCTTTCTGGAGGCTCACTGTGTCTATGTGCATTCAGAAATGTATATATAACTGTAATTATTATGCTGCGTTTAAGACCAGGATAAGACACTGTCTTATGTTTAAGCTGTGGTTTTAAACTATTATGGTGGCCAAAATTCCAGATCTCAACAACAGTGCTTTTATATTATCCATTGCTGCTTTAAAAATGTACATTCTTCTAGGTTAGACCAAAGAACAGGTGTATTTAGCACATATAGAGTTTGGCAAACATTAGATTAGATTAGATAGAACTTTATTGATCCCTTTGGTAGGGTACCTCAGGGAAATTGTTATACTAGCAACAACACAACACCGACAGAGACAATATCACACATCAATCAAGAAGAAAGAGCAGGAAACAAAGGAAACAAACTGTTAGATAGAACAGCAGCACGGTGTAATACTGGTAGTAGTAATAATAATAATAATAATAATAGAATAAAACTTTATTGATCCCTTCCCTCAGGGAAATTGTTGTACTAGAAAAACAACACAACACCAACACAACACCAGCAACAACAGTAACAACAACAATAGTAATGATAATAATAATAATAATAATAATAATAATAACACTGGATACAGTAAAAACATTTGCCAAAGTGCATAAATATTGCACACAGTCCGGTGATAGAGCATGATGCTCTGTCTCACCCAAATGTCCTCACTCCTCACCCCTCGCTCCCCACCTCTCCCCACTTGCTGCTCCTCCTCCTCCCCTGAGCTCAGAGTTGAACAGTTTGATAGCTCAGGGGACAAAGGAGTTTTTGTTCCTGTTGGTTTTGCACCTGGGGAGGAGCAGCCTGTCGCTAAACTGGCTCCTCTGGGCGATGATGACAGTGTGCAGAGGGTGGCTGGCATCGTCCATGAGGGCCAGCAGTTTGTTCAGTGTCCTCCTCTCTGCCACTGTCACCATATTGCCAACATCAAGTACAGTGTAATTGGTGTAAAAGAAAAAAATAAAATAAAAGAATAATAAGAATAATAATTAAAAGCTTTAAACCGCTTTCAACATCTGTCTTATTTTCATGTTAACCTGAAAATAACAAGACTGTTTTAGGATTTAGGAGCATTTAAAAATCAGAAGTAGTTATGACATATAAAATGTAGGAGAAATACATAAAAACTCATATTATTTTAGGTCAGTAGTCAAATTAGCGGCGTGGACCTTGTTAACATCTTCCTTCACATGCATTGTTTCCATAGAAAAGAGAGAGAGTGATACCACTGTGAAACATGGTGGTGTGAATCTGGGGTTTTTTGCTTCTGTGAACACCTGCACCAGCTTGAGTTCCCTGTTAGACAAGTAGAAGTAGCCCCTTTTCACTTCAGAGACGTGCTACACTCTTCATACTGCAGCCGGGTAATGAGGCCAAACAAACCTCAAAGCTTTGCAAAACCTAGGTGAAGACCAAGGAGTGCTCGCTGCTATGGACTCTCCTCCACAATTATCTCACCCTGATTGCATTGAAAGTTTATGAGAGGCACTGGAAGACTGAGAAAACAAAGTATTACTAACACAAGATGCTGTTTGGAGCATTGTTAGATCATGCTCAGATAAAAAAAAAAAAGGGTTATCAGGGTAATGCACAGACTTGTATGCTGTCATTAAAGCAAGAGGAGGGCAGTATTATGTCATTTTACAGTGCATATAAAAAGTATTTACCTGCCTTGGAAGCTTTCCCTGTTTATCACTTTTCATCATTGAATCATGATCAATTCAATTTCACTTTTGTGAAAAAAATTGACAAAAAATTAATTTTATGTCAAAGTGACAACAGATTTCTACAAAGTAATGTCAGTTAGTTCAAAATATATAATGTCAAATAAGTGATTGGTAACCGATTTAAAGTGACTCACCTAATTCAGCACAGGCACAGGGGATTGGTGCGAGAAGTCATACAATTAGTTAAATAGAAGTCATCTGAGTGCAGCAAATGATTGTTATATGTGGCTGTATCTAGAACGTCCATTCACTGGTAAATCAGTACTTGTGGCTAAAACTACACCGCCAGACAAAGTAACAACTCTGAAAGGTTGAAGATTGAAGAGCAAAGCTCAGGAGAGGAATACAAAAGAATTTCCATGTCGGTATATTTTTTGGAATTCAGTTAAATCAATTAATAAGAAATTGAAGGAATATGGCCCATGAATAAATCTGTTAAGAGCAGGCTGATCTCAAAAATGAGTGACTGTGCAGGAAAGAGACTAAAGAGAGAGGCCACCAAGACACCTATGACTCCTGTGAAGGAGTAACGAGTTACTTCAGTGGCTGACACGAAAGAGACTGTGCATATAACTGTTGCCTCCTCTTCACCAGTCAAAGCTTTACAGGAGAGTGGCAAAGAGAAAGCAACTGCTGAAAAAAGCTCATCTAGATTTAATAAAATAAACTAAAAATAAAACAAAAAAAATTAAAATAAAATCACATCTAGAGTTCACCAGAAGGCATGTGAGAAACGCTGCAGTCAAGTGGAGGAAGTTTCTTTGATCTGTTGAGACCAAAATTAAAATGTTTAGCCATCAGACTAGACCTTTGACCTGCAGTAGTCTCTTTCTTGCATGGTCACTCAGTTTTTGAGGACAGTCAGCATGTGCCGTTATCATTACACTTCTTAAAGATGGATTTAACTGCGCTCTAAGGGATATTCAGTGACTTGGAAATATTCTTGTATCCACCCCCCTGACTTAGACTTTTCAATAACCCATCCATTTCTATACACCGCTTAATCCTCATGAGGGTCGCGGGGGGGCTGGAGCCTATTCCAGCCGACTTAGGGCGAAGGCAGGGGACGCCCTGGACAGGTCGCCAGTCTATCACAGGGCTACACTTAGAGACAGCGAACCAAGCACACTCACATTCACAGATACGGACAATTTGGAATCACCAATTAACCTCAACATGTTTTTGGACCTTGTGGGAGGAAGCCGGAGAACCCGGAGAGAACCCATGCTGCACGGGGAGAACATGCAAACTCCACGCTGAAAGATCCCGGTGCCCCCACCGGGACGCGAACCGGCACTTTTCAATAACCTTTTCATGTAAATTTTTTTGGGAGCATAATTTTTTTTGTTTTAACTGTTTATCATATATTATCATTTATAATGGCAAGTTTTGTATTAAATTTAGAACAAATGCGTCTTAAAAAGTGCTCTGAGACATTTGGACTTGTTCTGGACTTGTTCTGTTCCTTGTTTTCCAGGAGCGCTCCCAGCCAGTGCCGGTGTACCATCCGACCCCAGGTGAGAGTCGTCTGGCCAGCCAGCTGACTGAGGAGGAGCAGATTCGCATCGCCCAGCGCATCGGGCTCATCCAGCACCTTCCCAAGGGCATCTTCAACCCGGGCTCCGACCCCTCTGAGAAGAAAGTCAAAGAGTGAGTTTTAAATGGTGGCATTGTGACAAAACACATCATATTATTCATTTTTAGTCTTTTTTTATATGACAGATTGTTCTGATCTTCCCTACGTAACTCAGAAAAAATTATAATCAGGGCTCAAGTTGCTAGTGTGTATGTGTTTAAAAATCTGTTTCTCTCTCCTCCAGGTGTGTGATCTGCATGATGGATTTTGAGTATGGCGATCCCATCCGGTTCTTGCCCTGCCTTCACATCTACCATGTGGATTGCATTGACCCCTGGCTGATGCGCTCCTTCACCTGCCCCTCCTGCATGGAGCCAGTAGATGCAGCCTTGCTGTCCACATATGAAACCAACTGAGCAGCCCCCGGCGGTTGCTCCTGCCTAAAAGTAACTGCACCTTTTTAGCCAAAACTGTCCTAACTGTTCAAACAGGTAGCCAAGGTGATGTGATATTATGCAGATATTTGTAGGGCTTTTGAGTATTCAGACAGATGTTGACAAATGTGCACTACAGTAAATTGTATAGGTCAGATATGCATCTATTTGGGCTTTGTGAAGTCTGCCTTTTGCAGAAGGACGATGTGCCAAATCAAGCTAGATGAAGAAAAGCTGTGCCAGTAGCAAAATATTACTGCAAAGTAATTTCACTTTCATACGATTGACAGTCATGATTTTTGTAGTAGCCAATGTGATTTGCTTCCCCTTTCAAGACATAATGTGCAATATGTTATGAAAATGGAGAAACTGCAGGAAATTTGTCTTGGTCAAGTGGGCATCCCATGATCTTGATTGTCAACAGAAACACTTGTCTCTCATAAATTGCAATCATCAAAATGCAGAAAAAATAACATCCATTTACCAGAACAAAGATGCGCTGTGATGTCTAATGACTGTTTTCACCTGCAGCCTCATGAGATACAATGTTGTTTCAGCATTTGAGGATAATTTGAAGATTGCTTCTATTTTAATTTACTAGGGTTTGTTGTTTGTACTCTAGTCTTTCCTTTGAAGCTGCTTTCATAAATGTGAACCTGTTTTTGTCTTTCCACAATATGGATGTTCTCCTTTGCTTTGCCTTGGGTTTGTGCTCTCTGTTATTTAAAAAAAAAAAAAAAAAAACGGTCCTTAGTGTGGTTTACTGTCAGTAACATTTACAAAGACACAATATGCTGTGCAATCCCCCCTTGAAGCACCTTGATGACCCTCATCTGAAACTCTGTAGCGTGTAGATTTCTTAGATGATGTGTGTGTGTTTTTGTGTGTGTGTGTTTTGAGGGGATGGTCGGTAGAGATTGGCATGTGAAGGTATCATTGTGAATGAACCCTGTCACCCTGTTGTAGTTACCTCTCTTTTTCTAGTTCGAAACTATTGGATATTTGTGTCGATGGCCTTCTTTGATGTATTTCCAAAGTTCCTGGGTCTAGTAACACAGAATGCTTTTATCTTTTGGTGGAAGACATGTACTGTCTGACACTGACTGCGTAATGTATACCACAAACAAGTGTCAAAACAGAAGCTACAGCAGAAGAAAGGAATGTATCTTGAATGTAGAATAGAATAGAATAGAATAGAATAGAATGCTTTTTATTGTCATCATACACAAAGTACAACGAAATTAAAATGAAATAAAATTAAAAGTGATTTCAGCTGTTAAAGTTCTGGACAGTATACATGACAATATGAGGACATTTCTGATTTACTGTGCACTTCCTGTGCCTTTTAAGGTTGAGGTAAACCAATTCCTGTGACGTACAATCATTTCTGACATTAAATTTGTTTTCCTTTAGTTGTCCTCTAGGAGGAGACAGATACCAGCATTGTACTGATTTGTGTCACTATGAAACAGGCCGAGGATGAAGCCAGAGATTTGCTCTGGCTGCTGTAAACAATCAACAACAATCATTTTGTCTTTTAATTTATAATGTGATCTATCAGTGCACAGATATGAGGACGCTCATGAAACCACAATAAAAGTGGATCCAAATCTTTTGCACGTGTGATGCTTTGTTTACCTGCTGTGGTCACTGTGGTGAAAAAAACTTTGGGGTCACAAAAGCATCGTGTGGTGACTGCAGGTGATGGTAGGTCTTGTTCTGTGTGTTACCACATGTATTCAGGTATTTCTAAGAACTTGAGAACAGACACAGACAGACTTTTATTTTCCATATTTGGTCCACCGATTACAAGTCTTGGGATTTTTTTTTTTTTGTTTAAATTTATGTTGAAACTTTTTTACAACAATTTGCTGATAAGTTGTCCATGAAATTAATGACAAATGTTAGTAATTTTGAGAATGTTTTGAAAACGTATCAGTCAAAAACTGTAAAATTGTGGGAAATTATGATGATACATTTTCAGAAAGAAATATTTGTGACAAGATCCAACATGCTTTAATGTCCCCTAAGAAAATTTTTCTTTGACAAGTGTTGCTGCATTTAACATATAAAGGGTACATACTAGGGGTGTAACCAATACACGTATTCGCACCAAACCATTCGGTGCAGGCCCTTTCGGTTCGGTACTGCAGTACGAAAATTTTAAGACTTTTAAGAATGGGGAATGTACAGAATTGTTTCCGTTGCAAAACTTTAAATTTCATGGTGCCCACAGTTGCGGTGGACCTTCTCCGGCTCACAGTTGTGCAGTATTGCGGAGCTAAAAACAAGTAGGAGTTTCCATTGGACTACAGAATGTGACTGACTGTTTGTTCTCCTGTCGGCGCTTCCCTATAAGCCCGGTCTGTATGGCTAGCAAATGGGATGGCTAATGCTAACAACAACAACAACAAGCCAGAGCTGGAAGACGCTCCGGTGTCATTAAAATCACCCGTTTGGGATCACTTCGGTTTCCTGGTGAAGTCTGAAAAAGGAGAAAAACAAGTCGACAAGAGGAAAACCGTATGTCCACACTGTGAAGTGGTCCTCAACTATGCATCTGGCAACACGTCAAACTTACACACTCATTTGAAAAGGCAGGATCCAAGCTTAACTGCCCACTGTATTGGAGCTCTGACTCCATTCAGTCCTCAGTCCTCACCGCTGTCTTCTCAGCAGTACATGAGGAAGCTACAGCCAGGCAGCATCACAGGAGTGGGCTGAGCGGAGCTACTGACAAATAAGTTCATAACCACCTTGTGACATTAACAATGACTCAGCATGTCTCCTGTTTCACTTTAACTCTCTTCCATGTGTCAGGACGACTGACGCGTGCTTCGGTGTGGCGGTCATGCTTTTCAATTATGTTGCATTGCTAAAGTTGTGCTAACCTAGCTTAAGCTTCTCCCTGTCTGTTTATGTTAGCAGCAACATCGCTGTAGTTATGCCAACCTAGTATAGCGTTAGCTAACAGCTTAAAGCCAGTAAGTAACTGCAGAAATAGATGTAGAAAATATCTGAGAGTACAGAACGACAGTTCATCACTCCGTCAGCTTGTTATTGATGATATCAATGTTAATTCAAATGCTAGAGCTATGGTTTGATTATCCATGAATCTAATAGTGTAGATCAAATGAATGCAGAACTTGCTGGAAATCACAATATGGTGGAAATGAGCTGCTTGGTGGAGGTCTGTGTCCTCAGAGTGCTGTTCTACGGTAGCCCAGAAGTGTCACAACAAAACAAAAGCCACAACACAACACATAAGCCACAACGCTACAAAATTAACCACAACACAACCAAATTAACCACATCCATCCATCCATCCATCTTCTCCCACTTCGCGGAGGCAGCAGCCTTAGCAAAGCCGCCCAGACTTCCCTATCCACACACACCTCCCCCAGCTCTTCCGGGGGGACCCCTAGGCGTTCCCAGGCCAGCTGGGACACATAATCCCTCCAGCGTGTCCTGGGTCTTCCCTGAGGTCTCCTCTCGGTGGGACGCGCCCAGAACACCTCCCCAGGGAGGCGTCCAGGAGGCATCCAGAAAAGATGCCCGAGCCACCTCAGCTGGCTCCTTTCGCTGTGGAGGAGCAGAGGCTCTACTCCGAGCTCCTCCCGTGTGACTGAACTCCTCACCCTATCTCTAAGGGAGCACCCAGCCACCAGAGCTTTGCTCCCTTGGTCAGCTCTCTCTTCACCACGATGGTCCGGTACAGTGACTGCAATACTGCTGACGCTGCACCAATCTGTCTGTCAATCTCACGCTCCATCCGCCCCTCACTCGTGAACAAGACCCCGAGATACTTGAACTCCTCCACTTGAGGCAAGGAGTCTCCACCGACCCGGAGAGGGCAAGCCACCTTTTCCCGGTCGAGAACCATGGCCTTGGATTTGGAGGTGCTGATCCTCATCCCGCTCGCACCACACGCGGCTGCAAACCGCCCCAGTGTACGCTGAAGGTCCTGGCTTGATGAAGCCAACGGAACAACATCATTTGCAAACAGCAGAGATGAAATTCTGTGGTTCCCAAACCGAACCCCTTCCTCCCCCTGGCTGCGCCGAGAAATTCTGTCCATAAAAATAATGAACAGAACCGGTGACAAAGGGCAGCCCTGGTGGAGGCCAACGCGCACTGGGAACAGGTCTGGCTTATTACCGGCAATGCGAACCATGCTTCTGCTGTGGTCATACAGGGAACGGACAGCCCTTAACAGAGGGCCCTGGACCCCATACTCCCAAAGCACCCCCCACAGGACGCCACGAGGGACACGGTCGAATGCGTTCTCCAGATCCAGAAAACACATGTAGACTGGTTGGGCGAACTCCCATGAGCCCTCGAGCACCCGATGGAGGGTATAAAGCTGGTCCAGTGTGCTGTGACCGGGACGAAAACCAGATTGCTCCTCCTGAATCCGAGGTTCAACTATCGGTCTGATCCTCCTCTCCAGTACCCTGGAATAGACTTTACCAGGGAGGCTGAGGAGTGTGATCCCTCTGTAGTTGGAACACACCCTCCGGTCCCCCTTCTTAAACAGAGGGACCACCACCCCGGTCTGCCAATCCAGAGGCACTGTCCCCGACCGCCACGCGATGTTGCAGAGACGTGTCAACCAGGACAGTCCCACAACATCCAGAGACTTAAGGTATTCAGGACGGATCTCATCCACTCCCGGAGCTCTGCCACCGAGTAGCTTTCTAACCACCTCGGTGACTTCCGCCCGGGTGATGGACGAGTCCGCCTCTGAGTCCACAGTCTCTGCTTCCTCTTCAGAAGACGTGACGGTGGGATTGAGGAGACCCTCGAAGTATTCCTTCCACTGCCCAACGACCTCCCCAGTCGAGGTCAGGAGGTCCCCACCTGCACTGTAAACAGTGTTGGTGGAGAGCTGCTTTCCCCTCCTGAGGCGCCGGACGATTTGCCAGAATTTCTTCGAGGCCGACCGATAGTCCTCCTCCATGGCCTCTACGACCACACGAGCTGCCGCACGCTTGGCCTGCCGGTACCCGTCAGCTGCCTCAGGAGTCCCACAAACCAAAAATGACAGGTAAGACTCCTTCTTCAGCTTGACGGCATCACTTACGTCCGGCTGCCACCACCGGGTTCGGGGATTGCCGCCGCGACAGGCACCAGAGACCTTGCGACCACAGCTATGAGTGGCCGCAGTGACGATGGAGGAGGAGAACATGGACCACTCAGCCTCCATGTCTCCAGCCTCCCTCGGAATCTGGGAGAAGCTCTCCCGGAGGTGGGAGTTGAAAACCCTGCTGACAGAGGGTTCCGCCAGACGTTCCCAACAGACCCTCATGATGCGCTTAGGCCTGCCAGGTCTGACCAGCTTCTTCCCCTGCCAGCGGATCCAACTCACCACCAGGTGGTGATTGGTGGACAGCTCGGCCCCTCTCTTTACCCGAGTGTCCGAAACACGCGGCCTGAGGTCTGATGATAAAACTACAAAGTCGATCATCGACCTCCGGCCAAGGGTGTCCTGGTGCCACGTGCACATGTGAACACCCTTGTGCTCGAACATGGTGTTTGTGATGGACAAACTGTGACAAGCACAGAAGTCCAACAACAGAACACCACTCGGGTTCAGATCAGGGAGGCCATTCCTCCCGATCACCCCTCTCCAAGTCTCACTGTCGTTGCCCACGTGGGCGTTGAAGTCCCCCAGTAGAACAAAGGAGTCCCCAGTCGGGGCACTATCTAATACTCCTTCTAGGGACTCCAAGAAGGCCGGGTACTCTGCACTGCTGTTGGGCCCGTAGGCCGAGACAACAGTGAGAGACCTGTCCCCAACCCGAAGGCGGAGGGACGCAACCCTCTCGTTCACTGGGGTGAACTCCAACACGTGGCGACTAAGCTGGGGGGCAATGAGCAGGCCCACTCCAGCCCGCCGTCTCTCCCCGCGGGCAACGCCAAAGAAGTGGAGCGTCCAGCCTCTCTCCAGGAGTTGGGTTCCAGAGCCCAGGCTGTGCGTGGAGGTGAGGCCGACTATATCTAGCCAATATCGCTCAACCTCCCGCACAAGCTCAGGCTCCTTCCCTCCCAGCGAGGTGTGTTGTGTTGCGGCTAATTTTGTAGTGTCGTGGGTAATTTTGTAGTGTTGTGGTTAATTTGGTTGTGTTGTGGTTAACTTTGTAGTGTTGTGGTTAATTTTGTAGTGTTGCGGCTAACAACACAACACAATAAGCCACAACGCTACAAAATAAGCCGCAACACAACACAACAGCTGCAACAGAAGTTGTTTGCAACGGAGGTGTCCGCATTAACAAGTCAAACAAGCAATGACTCTTTTTTTGTAAATCAAAGTTAACGACCGCTTTAATAGCGCATACCGAGATTAATGGACACTATTTGCCATCAGTATTTTACTTACTTTCGAGTTGTTTCCAACAATGTCCGGCTTCTGCCCACTTCATGTGGTTGCGCACTTCACAGTATAACTTCCAGGTTAAACAAAAACAACTTCCGTTGCAGCCGTTGTGTTGTGTTGCGGCTTATTTTGTTTTGTTGTGACACTTCTGGGCCACCATACTCTTCTAGTTAGCCATGTTTTACAAACTCGCCCCATTTATGAACAGCACACAAGCTCCCATTTGGCTGCATAATACTTCTTTCATTTATTTGAAATTTTTTTGTTTATTTTTTATATTTATCGCTGAACTTGGTTGGTTGCAGCAGTGTCTTCCTTTTTTATACTGGAAAAGTAATTCAGTTATATTTACAGCAGACCAATAAGCTGGAATTGTTAATGCTGCACTTGTACTTTTATCTATTTTGTTTTGTTTATTTGATATTGAGAATGATGCAGCAGTGTTCTTGTTACATTTGTATACATTGTACATTTAATTTGATTTACTGAGCTGCTAACAGCTTTTTGGTTTAATACAATGAACAAATGTTTTGGATTAATTATGAGCAGGTCTATTTTTAAAAAAATTTTCCCCCTATCTGAGAACCGAACTATACCAAACCAGACCGTGACTTCCGTACCGAAATACGTACCAAACGTGATTGTTGTGCAGAATTCCACCCCTAGTACATACACATGTTCCAGTCAGCCTTACTAGAGTACCAATTCTAACATGACATATTGCGCAGCTTAATATTGCACATATTAGAACATATTGCATGACTTAGGACACTGCACAACATAGAGCACCCAACATAGAGCACCGTCATCTATCCTGACAAGGTCCCTTTAGGAGCTATGGCCCCTGTGGCACAAATTATACTATAGAAAAAGGCACAAATGAATTTTTAAAATGATTGACTTGGCACTTGATACTCCATATCGTTTGGCAGAAGGTAGAAGCTCATACTCAGAGTGAAGGACATGGGAAGAGTCTACCACTATTTTCTGAACTCCTCTGGGCACAGACTGTGCATATAAAGACTGAAGGGACTTATTCTTTCCTCCTTGGGACTTTCTGGATGGTCTGAACAAGATGGGTGAGCTTAGATTTTAGCTTTACCAAAAGGTTACTATGCAACCCTGTACCTGATCATGTTCCCTTAAAAGCGTTCTTAAAAAGTGCAGCCTGTCTTGTAGTCTGGAGCATAGTTTGTCAAATTCACAGGTTACCATTATCAATGTGTATAAAGGAACACACAGGATTGATGGAGGTGTTGTGGATCCCCTGCTGCCCTAGGGTTAAACACCATCTCTTGTTTTCCTCACTGTCAAAATGAGGTGTTTAGTATCACAACAAAGTGCAAAATTCTCAGACTTTCAGAATAATGTGTCATTGTTTTTATATTATAGATATTCGCCTTGTAACCTTTGTTTTAGCAGATGCTCGTCTGATGAGGGAAAAAATTGTTATCCATGTTGTAGGTGGTTTACCAGCAAATGTGTTCATTAACTGCAAACAGGGACTCGCTCCCAGCATCCAAACTTTTGTATGTCCGAGGGCCAAATGAACAGCAGGCACATCTTCTGGTGCCAGAACATTAGTGGAAATCACCACCAGCTGGACCCTCAACATCAGGAGTATCATACCCATTACAGCACAATAGCCCACAAGAACACAGAGCTACAACACAGACAAACCCGTCGCACAATTGCAAGAGAAACAGTATTTTCTTTACAAAGGTTTTATTAAAAATGTGAAATATTTACAGTATTTAATGCACATGTATTGCACATAACAATGCACACTGCATATCAGTGTTACAGAGAGAACTGAAATAAAAATTCTAAAGTAACTACACTCAATGTACATATATAAAAATGTGGTTCTTATTTAAATTACATGAATATTACTGTTAATTTTAGACTGCTAAAAATGTACAGAATTATAAGAAGGTCATGGTTTTACAAAGTGTTATAGTACAACAGCAAAGATTTGAAAACTTTACATGACATAAGGTTCTTGAGAAGCATCTCTATAAAGCATAGATTCCCACGCTGACAGTAGCCAGAGCCACAAAGAATCCCAGAACCATCTGGAGCAACGGGGATGTGTTGATAAGGGTTCCTGGGATCTGGAGTGTCTTCACAATTACTGGTGTGGAGTGTGTTAAACAACTCTGCAGCTTGTTTTCAGTGACAGTCAGCATCTTCTGTAAATCATCAAAGACCTGTAAAGCAAAGGAACGTCAATCAACTGCTTGTGGCTACATAAAAAGAATGAAAAATAGAAGAGCAAATGATGATCTTGTAAGTCCAACTATTCTAAAAGAAGGCTTCTCACTTTGTTCTTACCTGAATGTTGAACTCGAAGGCCCTGACAGCCTCCTCCAGCACGCCGTTCCTCTCCTCCTCCGTCAGCTCCACGCTGTTCATTCGGCTTCGATAGAGCTGTTTGAAAAGGTTGGGGCTGGACACACCAGGAAAGGCAAAAAAGGACAGACCCTCGCTATTTTTCAACCCCATGGACTTCTGGGCGATCCGGCCGAGAACCTGCCCTCCAGACAGGTCGCCGAGGTACCGGGTATAGGCATGGGCGAGCAGAAATTCAGGGTTTTCTTTACCAATCTGAAAAATACACAGTGATGAACAATGTTAAATCACCTATCAGAGAAATGAACGTATGTTTGTACATTTTGTAAATTTGAAAAACTCAACAATATCAATTTCTTCTACATATACGAGAATGTATGCAATATCAGTATATTTTTACTCATGGAAGAATCGTTATTCTTTACATCCAGAGGAATTTGTGCAATATCTGAATTTCCCCATATGGATGAATCTGTACAATATCTACAGTACTTGTTTTTCTGCTGATGTCCCTACATTATTGCACTTTTCCCTTCTGCTGCTCTTATCTTATGTGAGATGTATGCCTGATAATCTGCAACATACCTGTCTGAGTCTTTGGCAGTATCTTTTGGTGGCTGCAGGAACAACGACTTTCTGTCTCCAGTCCGGGCCATAGAAATATTCCAGGTCTTTCTCGATGGACTCCAATCTGGCCAATTCAGCAGGAAAGTAAATGGGTGCAACTCCAGGATGGTTGGAGTTCCTGTCCAGCTCTTCCTCCAAAGCCTGGTAGATCTCATACAGTGAGCACAGCATGAGCTGAAGACAAGGAGGAGGAGGAGAGGTGGTGTCAGACAAGAAGCCATTAGACATCAGGATCTACCAAAAAGTAACATTTTCTATAAGAGTATTAGTGCAGTACTGTTTATTACCTTATATTGTGGAAGTGTGACCTGTGCCTTCTGGAAGCTCATCATCAGTTCTGTGTTTTCTGCTCTGACGTGACTCTCCTTTGTCACCTTCTTGATCTGTTCGGACAGATCCCTGAGGGAGGAAATGACTCCGTCAATACAGCAAGCTCAACTTTAACTGTGATGAAAATGTCTATGTTCTGACCAAAGAAACTACTTTGACGCAACTGACTAAAAGAGTAAAGGGTGTAAAGAGAATCTGGTAAATAAACATGTAGGGAAATACAGGCCTCCAAAGTACAATAACATAAAACATGCTGCTATCAAACTTCACAAAAACACAGGGTTACTGGAGACCTACTCTGGGATGCTGCAGTGCTAATACCAACATGACCAACTAAATCTAGCCAAAAGCATTAATGAACTTAATCTCAATGCTGACAAAAAGAATTCGGATTCTGGAACTCTTTCATAGATGGGTGTGAAATGTGCATGAGTTAGGAAAGAGGATTTAGTGATACAAGAAATCACAGCATTTCCATCTCACCTGTCTGTCATCTGCGCTGCTGCTGTTTGAGTCTTCTTCTCGGTTTCCATTGTGGCTCTGAAAAAAGCAAAGATTTCAGAAAAGTGCTTTTGCAGACAATAAATGATCTTACAGCATGGTTACCAACACTACACAGGGATTTAGGAGGTGTAAAATACCAGCAAGTGAATTTAAAGTATGACCCACAACTGTAAATATTGCGTTTTGCTCACCAGTAAGAATTAGGTCCTTCGAGTCTGGCACTTTGGTGTGTGTCCTCGCTGTTTCCTCTCTGGACGTCCAGGACAGTTTGTGCTCTGTGTGCCTCCAGTCTTCTCCTTCTTTTATATGTTCCATGTCTGTCTCCTCCCCCAGCAGCACAATGAAAACAGGAACTGGTCACAAAACCTCAGCTTAACATGATATGGCAACTTCAGTAAAAAGAAGTAGGAGGGACTGAGAGTTAACATGATGCGGCAACTTTGGAAAAGTGCAGAAGGAGGGACTACAGGAGTTAAGGTGAGTAAGGGAGTTTCAGCAAAGCCCTGGAAAACAGGAGGAGGAGGGCCGAACGCTAAACATGACTGTGCAGCTTGAGATTCCAAAGTTGAACCGGATGAGAGGAGGAGTCAACTCTAAACATGACTGTGTGAGTTTCTGAAGCGAGGAAGTGTCGAAACCATGACTGGTGGTAGAAAAAACAATCCCATGACTGCATCAACGGCTGGTGTTTGTATTTCATTAGAAGTATGAACAAGTTCAACCACAAAGCTACTTTACTTATAAGTCTGTCATAATTCACATTCAAAGACAAAGTTTCAGTTCACAGAAATTAGACAAGATATGGACAACATAAATCCAGGAATAGAAATTGTTAGTATATTGCTATTACTGATAAAAGTTCAAGCCAACCACTTGAGTTCACATTTTTGTACCTACAATAAAGCTGACCAAACCAGTAACCTGGCTTTTATATTTATTGTTTTCTTTTTGGAAAAAGAGCAACATAGTTGGATTTATATTGTTTCATGCACAACTCAAGTCACAATACACTTTAATGCTTATTCTAACATCCGTCTGCGACTGTGACCAACTGCAAAGTAAAAAAAACCCCAAAAAACTACCTAACAACAGAGCAAGAACAACAAGGGAACACAAGCATGTGGACATCTGAGCATTGCATGTAAAAGTGATCATCTCGTTCTGCAACACTGGGCATTAATCTGTTGCTCTAACAGCCTCTGCTCTTCTGGTAGGTCTTTTTGCAACCTGGCAGCAGAGCTTTGTGCCTTTCAGCCATCAGAGCAGCACTGATGGTAGGCAGTGATGTTGGGTGATAAGGCTTAACTTGCAGCTAACGCTCTCAAAGTTCATCCCAAAGGTGTTGTCGGACTGGGTCGAGGTCAGAGCTCCGCGCAGGCTGGTTAAGTTGATCTCTGTTTGAGCATAAATGCATGCAATTTTGAGACTAAACAGGACATTTTCCTCAAACTGCTGGAGCAAGATTGGAATCAAACTATTGTCTAAAACTATTCATTGTGATACAGCCAAATTCACAACACATGCCATTATCTAAGGACACTTTACATAGTTAGGTCAAGATGTTACAGCATTATAGAGAGAAACCCAACTATTCCCAATTGAGCAACGCTCAGTGAGAGTGAGGGAAAAAAACTCCCCCTTGACATGAAAAAACCTCCAAAAGGACAAGCATCAGGTTGAACAGTGGCGAGGGAAAAGTTATGCATTGAAAGTGGCTCACTGAAATATCCCTGGAGCATTAACTTTCCCCTTAGCAGGGATGGATCAAAGGGCTGAGCAAAAATCATGACACAAAAATTACACAGAAGTATTCCGTTTCAGTGAATATACCTGTAATCATTGACACACAAGTTAGAAATCATGTAATGTGAAACTGAGAACATCTGCGGTGTCCACTTAGCATAAGTGCATAAACGTGGTTATAAAAATTAAGTGTGAACACCGCAACTTTCTCAGTTATGGACCTGCGAGCTGTGTTTATCTGCATGCCTGTATTATGGCTCCACATTGAAAAAAAAAAACAACTGCCAATCACAATTGAAAAATCTGATTGTGAGGCTTCACAAAGATGGACAAGGATAAAGACAGATCAGAGATTAAACTAAAACATATGTCAAAACAGAGTCGCAACAGTTATCAGAATGTACAGAAGGAGCCATAGTACCACTAATCAGAGCAATAGTGGTCATTCTTCTAAAACTGTGCAACGGGCAGTGTGTTATGGTCAATATAGCTCTTAAATAACAGATGTGCAAGTGCTGCAGTCTTGGCAAAGGGGTTATAAATGGAAATTGGACTTTCTCTGACAACTCAGACAGTGTAAAGGACTCTGTACCAACTACTTGCTGTGTCAGTGCAAAAGCTGTCCTGGAGATATCTCTGTAAAGAATCTCAGTAATTCTGTTGCACTTTTGTTGAGTTTCCACTGTATCTTGTTTAAACAGTAAATGCAAAATGCTAGTTAAATTAATTAGTTAATTTTACATAAACCCAAATACTCCAGAGCTCTACTTAAAAGAAATTCAATAAATGCAGAATGCTACAACCTTTTGCTATTATTTTACATTTAAGTGGTGCTGCACATTGTTGCATACTGGACAGGTATGGATGTCTACCTAAAAATGACATTTTAAGGCTTGCTGACTATTTGGACAAAAAATAACAGAAATGTGGAGATTTATGTCTAAACAAATACAATTGCAATAGAGTAGAATAAATAAAACCAACAAAACATTTATTCAGGCCTCATGTTTTTAAAAAAGGTGTCACCTTGAACTGCAGACTGTGATCAGCTGAGCGTGTTGCAGCAACAACTGGTCAGGTATTAAATCATGAGGCGTCACTTCAGCCTTAACATGACTCAGCATTGCGAACAGGCAGGGAGGGAGTAAACGTGAGTCAGCAGCTTCAGCGCCTCCACACAGACAGAAGACACCAACGTGACAGACCGTGAGTTCATCTAAGAAAGATATCGGAAAGATGTGAGTGTGACGTGTTTACCAGACGCTGCTAGACTCATGTTAGCTTGTTGGTAGTCATAATGGTAGCTTTTAGCCACTTTCGGACTCTGAAAAATGGCGGCATGGTGAGCTCGTCCAAACTTTGAGCGTTTTTATTTGTGTTGGATAAAAGTCAAAGGTTAAACATTTGGAAATTGGAGTACCAGTTCCATGTTTACTCGGTGTTATTGCAAACATTAAAGTCGTGCTCTTGTGTAGCTTCATGTTAGCTTGTTGTTTATCATAACGTTGACGCTGAAATATCGCAGCGTGCTCAGTTTGTCCAAACGCATAGCGTTTTAATTTGTTTTAGATGAAAGTGACTTAGAAAACCTGATATTCGAAGAGGAGCAGAGACTTCCAAGTTCATTGAGTGTCATTATAAACAAAGTCCCACTCGTGTGCAATAAATTGTTAGGTTGTTTATCACAACGTAAACGTTTAGATATTTTTATAAGCTGAAATATCGCGACATGTTCAGTTTGTCTAAAGCAGGGGTGGGCAATCCTGGTCCTCGAGGGCCACAATCCTGCATGTTTTAGATGTTTCCCTCTTCCAACACACCTGATTCAAATGATCAGGATCGTTATCAGGCTTCTGCAGAGCTTGATGATGAGCCGATCATTTGAATCAGGTGTGTTGGAAGCGAGAAACATCTAAAACATGCAGGATTGTGGCCCTCGAGGACCAGGATTGCCCACCCCTGGTCTAAAGTCTCAGTGTTTTCATTTGCTTTAGATTCAAGTGTAACTCAAAGTAGGATAATCTTATTTTTTTAAGTGAAGCAGACACTTCCAGTCATACTGAGAGTTTTCATAAAAATGAAAGTCATACTCTTGTGAAGCTAATTGTTAGCACGTTCCTCATCATAACATGAGGGTTTAAGAACTCTCAGATGCTGAAATATTGCGACATGTTCATTTGTTTTAGACAGAAGTGTGGAAAACTTAATGTTTTGAGTGAAGCAGACACTCCCAATTTTACTTACTTTACTTACTAACATTAAAATCTCACTCTTGTGCAGCTGAGTAACTGTCAGAACGACTATTACTGTTGCTTGGTTTACTCATCAGATAGCAAGGCCTCCTTGTTACACGTGGTTAGCTTTTGCCAACTCCTTTGTTTTCCTACTTACTGTGGCATTATCTCATTCCTTTAAAGTAATTTGGGAATTAAGTCTAAATGTTCATTGTAGCAATTTAGTGAACATCACTTTTTTTTTTTTTAAGCAATTAATCTGTAAAAGGTGTGAACAGTTAATTTGTCCCCCATTACTAGTTTGATGTAACTCTTAACACACCCAGCATCTAAATGGGACTAAATGTGGCATTAATGTAAAGTATTATAATGATTTGAGGGTTGAGCCATACTTTACCTGTATTATTTCTAAAGCAACAATTTTATTTTTGGTCCCTTGGTAATTGATTTTCATCATCTATTATTCAATTATTTAATATATCCATATGATGATAGTAATAATAAAATCCTTGTTACAAATCCCTACAATCCAAGGTGATGTCTTCAAATATCTTGTATTGTTAGCTATTTAGTTAATGCATGACAAAGAAAGGGGCTGCAAGGTGGCGC